TTTAGAAAGACTTATCTGTCAACAGTGTGAAGGATGGATTGAAGTGGGAAAAGACCAGAGGGCAGGGAAATTGCTTAGGAGACTATTATAATAGTTCAGACAAGAGATACCAGAGGAGGTAGCAGTGAAAGTGGAAGGGAATGATGGATGTGAGAGATATTGAAGACAGAGAGTCTACAAGACTTGGCAAATGATCAGATGCAAGTAGGTAGTACAGGAGAGGGAGAAATACAAGAGAATTTCAAGATTTTGAACCTGGGGAATTAGGGAAATGCTATATAAATTAACCAAATTAGGAAATCAGGAGGCTTGTAGAATAAGTTGATATTTGATTTAAGGCATAGTGAGTTTGAGGTGCAAGCAAAGCAAGAGAAATGATGTATGAGGTGTGGGCTATTGGAAATACAGGCTTGGAGCTCAAAGGAGATGTAGAGCCTGGACATAATGATTTATCACATTGATCTCTGCTAAAGTTATAGGGAAATTGTGGGAGACTTTGCTATTGCTGAAAGAGGGCACAGAGAGAAGACAAAGCTGAATTCCTGGGCCATTATTAAATCCTGGAAGGTAACAGGAGGAAGAAGGAGGTACAAGAGGGATGAGGAGATCCAGAATTGTGCCATTTCGTGAAAGCTACACAGGGAAGGAGAGAGTTTCAAGGATATCATAGTTAACAGTTTCAAAAGCTGCAAGAAGGTCAAGGCAGAATGACAGTTCCGTTGGACCCTCCAAACAGGAGGTCATAAGTGACCACAAGAGGGAAAGGTTATAGAAAATGGTTGGAGCAAAATCCAGATTACAAGGGATTGATAAGTGAATAGAAAGTAGAGGTAGTACAAATCGATTACTCTTTCGAGAAGGTTGGAAATGTACAAGGTCAAAATAAGATAGTTGTTTTTAGTATGAGAGATCTGAGAATGTTTATTGGAAGAGAGGAAGGAGTCAATGAACTTAGATGGGAAAAGGGAGAAGAATGGTGAGACTGGGGGTCACAATCAGGATGAAGATCAAGTAATCCCAGGGTGAGGGAACAGAGAAGGAGGAAGGACAGGAGATTGTAGCCAGAGAGGGGGAAATCCTGGAGGTGTTTTACAGTTTCATGCTATGAGTTAGACATGAGGCATATCTGTATTTGAGATCTTGAGGGATGTGAATCCAGGTCCAGTGGTAGACTCATCTCTGACAACTAGAAGATAACTTAAGTTTAGAAAGATTCTTCAAGGGAAGGTTGGCCACCAGGTGATGATTTTTTTCTTTTGGCCACAACAAATTAGGAAACTGTCTACTAAGGTGTGGAAGAGCTGCAATCTGCATGTGAGGGAGGACCCACACTGCCCAAATCTTGGATCTATTGGAGCGAGGCGGTGTTTACATGTAGCCACCAAACTCTGCTTTTGATTACTGTCACCATGAGTCATTAACATGGCAACGTACCCTGACATTAAGACGACTGGCATGGTTGGCTCAGAAGAGTCCAGTCATTTCAAATGTATGTCATGTTCCAGCAGTATTTTAGGAGAAAGAGGGATAGACTTAGAGACAGGAGAAACCTGAATTCGAATCCTTCTTCTGACAGTTACTAGCTATATGATAATGAGGAAATCAACTCTTCCTGACCTCATTTGGGTTTTTCTTGGCAAAGATACTGAAGTGGTTTGCCATTTTCTTCTCCAGCTCATTTTATAAATGAAGAAACTGAGACAAACAGAGTTAAATGACTTGCCCAGGGTCACACAGCTAATAAGTGTCTGAGGCTGGATTTGAACTCAGGAAGGGGAGTCTTTCTGATCCCAGGCCTAGCACTCTCTCCACTGCCCCAACTAGCATTTATTAATCACCTTCTATTTTCCAGGCAAAAAACCAGTTCCTTCTCTCAGGGAGTTTACTATCTAATTGACTAGACAACAAGCAAACACAACCTCTGTGAAGCTTAGTTTCTTCATTTGTAAAATAGCTATAACAATAGCACCCAGAGAGACATTTTGGCCTCACAGGCAGGAAGACCTCAGCTTGAGTCCCATAGTTGACACAGAGAGTGACCCTGGGTAGGTGCCTCTTCCTGCATCTAAGGCAATTCTCTAAAACTATAAGCCATAGATCTGCTTTGGTGAAAGGAGTCTCCTTACCTGGAGTTCCTTGTATGAATGAAATCACAGGCCTCTTCCCTATTGCCCCTCTCCTTCCACCTCCCCACCCCCAGAGCACCCACCTCAAAATGTTGTGAGGATTAAATGAGATACCCTTTGTAAAGGAGTCTGCAAACTTGGAATGCTAAATGCCAGCCATTATTTTTAATAGTAAAATCCAATTCTGCACAAAAAGGAGACCAATAATATATAAAGCTTGCAAGTGACCTGTGAGCCAAAACTATTATCTATTAAATAATTAATGAAGCTTTGTACTCTTCTTAGTTGATGAAATAATTTAAAAGGACTAATAAATACGCAATCTGCACCTGTTTATAATTACAAAGGGAGTTTTATGCCCAGTTATAATACGAAGAAAGAGAAAATTTACCCTTGCTTTAATCCCCAAATGATAATACCCAAGTAGTGAAGCAAAAAGCATGAGTCATGTATCTACATTTGGTGGCCCCCACGATAACTTTAGTGCTTTCAAGTGGGAGGCCATTTTTGTTCTTCGCTTTAACCACTAAACCAAGACTTCTGTTATGGGGATGAGCAATCTGCCACCAGGGCCTGAACCAATCACTTGCACCTGCTTTTTCTGGTCTTAGGGCAGATGGTACGTCATAAAAATAAAAGCCATGGAAAAAAATGCACAGAAATATATTCCCTTTAAAACTCTTCAGGAGGTTCATTTTCCTAACGCCTGATCTCATAAATATACATGTTTTATGTTAATGTCCTAGCCCTGCATTTGGTGATTGATGCTGGGGCCTAGTAAAGGTGGCTTGGCCCCATTCATATGCTCCTCTTTACAGAGTTACACAGGATTTGAACACAGCCTTTAGTGCAGAAGCTCTGAGGGCAGGACAATTTATTCTTTGCACACTAATGAGAGCCTTGAGCAACAGCTGGTGGTGCTCTGGGTCTTGCTCCTCCAGCCCCTACCCCTTAAAACTACTTTCCCACCTCTGAGGCAATGTCCACTGGCCTGTGGCAGAATAAGATACACTTGACTGGAAAGCAGCAGGACCAGCATTTTGCTGTTTATACCAATGAACCAATCAATCAATAAGCATTTACTATGTGCCAGGAGTGGTACAAGCACTGGGGATACAAAGAAAGGCAAAAAAAAAGTCTCTGCCCCCAAGAAGCTCACATTTTGATAGAGGAGACAATATGTAAATAACTAGGTTTATAACAGATGCATACAAGGTAGATGGAGGTAATCTCAGTTTGCTGAGGCCTGGTCTATGCTGGTACAGCTTACACTGCACAGTGCTCCACTCTCACCCTAATGCAGCAGACCTTTTGGGCAAACCTTTTAAGTTGTCTTGGCCTGGACAATTGTCTTTCCTCGTTCTTTTGTGGGTTCTGCCATTCCAGAATTTGTTTTGAGGCCTTATTCAAAGTTTTTTGAAAGGGTTTTGGGGAGAGCTTGGGTGAGTCCCTGCCTTTCCTCCTCCATCTTGGCTTCACCCCCATGGGAGATAATCTCAGAAGAGAAGGCACTAGCAGGTAGAGGGACCAGGAAAGACCTCTTGCTTAAAGAAGGAGTTGAGCTGAATCTTGAAGGAAGCTAAGAGGCAGAGGGTGAGGAGGAAGAAGCATAGAGAACAACCAATGTAAAGACAGAAATGGGAGGTAGAAAGTTGTATTCAAAGAAAAACAGGCAGGCCAGAGTTTCAGAATTGAGTAGAAGAGATCTGTTGAATCCAATTTCACTCTGTGTGTTCACTTCAACAGCTGCCATAGTTTGCAAACACTAATATTACTAATGGGTACTCATGCTGATATGGACTGGGCTAGAATTGATGCTCGTTTTATGCTGAGACTTGAGAGCATCGCTATAAATGAAAGGTTCTAAACTGACCATTTCCTTACAGTAGAAAGTCTGTGGCAACAACTAAATATACAGAGGGGGGAAAAATGGTAGCAGTAAGATGCCACCTAAGTGGTACAGTGGATAGAGTACTGGGCCTAGAGTCAGGAAGACCCGAGTTCAAATATGACCTCAGACACCTACTAGTTGTGTGATTTTAGGCAAGTCACTTAACCCTGTTTGCCTCAGTTTCTTCATCTGTAAAATGATCTGGAGAAAGAAATGGCAAACCGCTCCAATATCTTTACCAGGAAAGCCCCAAATGGGTTCACAAAGAATCAGATACAACAACTGAACAATAACAATGTATGGCACATTGTCCTTTGACTATAGTGCTTACTCAGGTGCATAATGGAAACTGGTCCCGACATAATCATCCTGCCCACAGACTTGACCTTAATGTTCCTTACTCACAAGACAACACAAACCTCTAGAAGCACTGGAATTACCAGTTTTATATCACAAGTAGGCTTGTGACAATGTGAGCTGATATCTAATTTGAATAAAGATGAATGTGACACCATTCACCATTTTAATAGAATTTAAGTTCTCTGAGGACAGGCATATTTGACTTGGTATCCCCAGTATTTGGCTCCATTTTTTGGCAGGTAGCAATTGCTTACTAGATACTTATTGAATAGCAGATAATCTCAGGGTGCCTGGATCTAAGAGATGGGCTTTGCTGAATCAAACTGCATTCAACGGGTTCACTTCTCTAACAACTGGAATTAAAATCACCAATTAAAATCAACTGATTTCTTCAACTACATCTAAAAGTAGAATAGAAGAGCAAGATGGCTTTGGTGTAAAACTTGAACTGTCACTAAAAGACCTTAGGTAATATTTTTTACTTGAACCTGGATCTAAAACATACTATATGAGACCTGAATATGTTCCCCTTAAACAAATGTAAAAGCATAATAATATTGTCTTATTTCAAAATTTCATCAAAAATCATGATATATAACAAATACTTCAGAATACAGACTTACTTTATTTAACTTTATGAAATGGTCTAGCCCAGCCTCCAGAGGATTTGTATCGCAATTCATCTATAAAGAAAAAAGACATTTTAAAATTAAAAGGTTAGACAATAGTTTTTAAAACTCTGTTTTTCTATAACTTTTTTTCCTTAAAAAACCCATAATTTTCCATTTTGCCTTCTGGTTTTAAAGAGGCAAATTTCAAATAAAGATGGATTTCCAATAGCCCTTTCAATTAAGAGAGGGAGAAAGAATAACTTTTCAGCATATGACTCCCATTGCATAACTGAAAAGATGGAAGGTTTACTTTTAAATTTCTATTCTTGTTGAATTTTATTTGACATATAAAATATATGTTACATGAAATACATAGAATTATCCTTGGTTAAAATACAGATCTCTAAAATATATATTCCATTTATATAGCTTTATGTAATTCCCTTTATACTATTTCAGGTATATAAATAACTAATGAAAAGATACTGACTTGTGTTATTAAACGTCTAGAATAAGAAGAAGTTAAAGGTGAAGCAAGTGGAAATTGCTTTTCAATAGAGCGTCGAAAAGGAGAAAAGAGAAGGAAAGTCCTGAATCTTTGAGGTCTTAGGTCACACTTATACTTGAGCCTGGGTCTAAAGCCAAGACTGTATTAGACCCGAAATATAGGCCACACTACTGAAATGAGATTATTTCAAAACATACATGTATGACACTGAAAATTTCCCACAAAATTGCAAATGAAAATTGCTGTGAATTTTTTTTTGTATTTTTTCCATTTAAATAAAGTTATTTTATTTGCTTTTATCAACACTGATCCCACCATCTTTGTCATTTTCTTTGTCATCATTTTACTAAGAACATTATGGCAGACTACAATCAGAATTTTAGAAGTTATATTTGAATGATGGAATCATAGCTTCTTAGCCTAAATTCAGACCCATAGGTTAGACCTGAACTGAAAGTCCTTTTACTATGATTCAGGAATCTGAGATTTTCAAACTATCCTAAGGTACAATCAAGCTTTTGAGGAGAAATTGATAAATACCAAAAACTTATCAGTGCTTTCAATGATACAAAAATCTGAATTCGCTGCCAAATCAGATCAAGCTACAGATGCTCTGAAGAGATTTGTCCACTCAAAGTGTCCAGGGAAGAAAGAAAAGATTGATTGCTGTAGTAACACTAGATGGCTCTCTGATACTACTGGGAAATTTGAAGGTTACTGAGCTTGGGAAGAGAGCTAAAGAGGAGGAAAGGGAGATGAATAGTATAAGTAGATAAGGGAAAGAAGAATAGGGGTGGGGGTGTGTGATAGGTTAGACTGCAATGAGACCTTGGACAAAAAAGGAGGATTTGTAATTCAAAATTACCCTTTGATGGTCTGGCTTTCTCTCAGAGTTTGAACTGAGATAGTTTTCTTCTCTTCCCCTCCCCCTCACTTTTGCTCTAGGTTAAATGTGAGGACAGAAAACACTTTTAAAAAATGAAGATAGATAGGAGTGGAGGCTTTTTGTTCTTCAAAGGTAAAATCAATATGGATGGATGTGTCTTTGAAAGTTCATAAGCAAGGCTGCCCTGATGTGCTTGAAATCCTGGAGTCTAAATGAACATTGTCTTCTCTTTTTAACATCAAAATAAAGACCATTAATTTTACACACACACACACACACACACACACACACACACGCATGCACACACATATTGGAAAAGGAAATGGCAAAACACTTCACTATCTTTGGCAAGAAAACTCCAAATGGGGTCATGAAAAGTTGGACATGACTGAAAACAACTGAACAAATATACATACATATATATGAATGTATGTATATGTATATATATATATATACACACAATATACACTTATCTACATATATACAAATATATACACACCCCAAAATAGCATTGGACAAATTACTCCTAAACCTAACTAGAAGTGGGCAGTGGAGACTATAGGTATCCCTTATGTCATCCCCACTTGGCAGTGTTTCAGGAGCAGCTGTGAAATGATTTCTTAGGAAGCCCACTGGAATACCTGCTGGACATTAAGTTGTGAGCTCCTTGAGGGCAAGGAGTATCTTTTGTCTTTCTTTACATCTCCAGTACTTAACACAGTGCCTGGCACACAATAGGCACTTAATAAATGATTATTGATTGAATGTTTCTTGAGTATTGACTGACTGACAAATCATGAATACTGGAGGGAATGGTTCTACAGCCCCATGGGGCTAGCCCTAGGCAAAATTGTAAAGTGGTCAAGATCTATCTTCAGTGCCAACATCTTCCAAAGATCCTTCTTGTCCAATTGCCCCTTAGTTGATTGTACTAGATGCAATCAACTAGAAGTTGACTGTACAGTAGATTGCACGAGAAGCAGGGTGGCTCAGTGGGCAGTGTTGGACTTAGCATTATGAAGACCACAGTTCAGATTTCACTTCTGACACTTGCCATCTGTGTGACCTTGGGCAAATCACCTAAAGCTTTTTAACTTCGATCTCCTCATCAATAAAATGAGACGATAATGCCTGGGGTGGCAACAGCATAGGGTTATCATGAGACTCAGAAGAGGGAAGGAATGTTGAACACCCTGCAGACTTTAAAGTACTTGATGTAAGTTACTATTACAATCCCACCTCCCAGTATCTTTCCTTTCTATGCCAACATCCTCTTGCTGCCAAACACCTGGCCAGGATTTCCATTAGCTCCCATCTAAGCTTGCCGTTTCCTACCCCCTAAGCTTCCACTTCTCTTTAAGACCAGGGATCATCTCATTTTTGTTTTGTATCCTCAATACCTAGCCCAGTGCTTGGTCCACAATAGGTGCTTAAAAATGCTTGTTGAGCAACTGATCTCATCCTTTCAGGGCCTCCTGTGATAATAACAACATTCTGACAAACCAACGGGAGAAGACTCAAATCATAGCATCCTAGAGATAAGAAGGTCCCTAAAGTTTGTCCAAACTTCTACCCAGGGCAGGACAGGAATACTTTCTGAATATTTCTGACAGATCATCACTTTGCTTCTGCTTTCACAACTCAGTTCTGAGAAGTTTACTAATTCACAAAGCTATTTACTATATCCTTGGGAAGCTCTTATTAGTAGAAAGTTGATTTTGGGGGGAATGATAATGCAAGACTTCATATTTATATGTATTAAATTTGACATAGTTTGGGCCCATGATTCCAACCTCTTGAGGTCTTTTTGAATCCTGATAATGTCATGCAACATATTAAATATCTTTCTTAGCTTTTTGTCATTTGCAGACTTAACAAGCATGTCTTCATTTAAGCCATTGATAAAGTTGTCAGACTGGATGGGGCTGAGAACAAAGCCCTGCAGCCCTCGGTGGGAAAGCCTTCTCCAGGGTGTCATTATTCAGTTACTTAACATTTTTCACTCATGGTTGCTCGACCAGTTCAAACTCACCTAACACCCAGCCCACATTCCACCAACTTCATCCCAAGGATATAATGAGAGACTTTGTTAGATCTCTTATTGAAATCAAGATGCACTATTGTCTATGGTATTCCCTGATCTACCATTAAAATAGCCTTACGAAACATTAATAGAGACTTACATTTTACAAAACATTTCCCTAAAAATGAGGTCAGTTGGGCATGACCTGTTCTTAGTGAACCAGTGCTGACTTGCTGTGATCAGCACTTCCTTAGCTAAATGTTCTATCTGCTCAATATTCTACTCTAGAATTTGCTGGGCGTCAATGTCAAGCTCATCAGGCTGTTGGAAAATTCAGATTACATGGGCTCACTTCCATCCTCCCGGTAAGAGGTATTATGGCGTAATGGGCCTTGGAGTCTGGAAGACCTTGGTTCATAGTCTTGCCTCTGACAAATACTGGCTGTGCAAGTGTGGACACTCACTTATCTTTTCAGTGCTGCAGGCAACTCTTTATGACTATAAGTTATAGACACTAGTCGATGTCCACATAGGGAATTTCCACACTGGGAATTCTTTGTACCAATGAAATCACAGGTCCAGTTTTTTTTTTTTAATTCTTCTGGAACCTTTCATCTTTACATGATTTTTCACACCCTCAAGTTCTTTCAGAAATCTAGAGTGTCATTCATCAAATCCTAGAGACTTGGGGTCATTTGAAGCAGCTTTCACTATCCTTTTATCTGGCATGAGCTTCAATTGCCTTAACCATTGTTGTTTTATGCTTTCCAGGTTGAAGACCTTCTTTGAATCAGAATCAACATGAGTTGGGTTCTGTCTTCTCTCTGTGTTCTATTAATATTTAATCACCAGAGGGTATTGCTTAAGCCATCCAAAATCATAGTCAACTCTTTATCAGTACTCCATTATACTTTAACTTATTTCAAAACTCCAAGGACCACAATTTCCTTTATTGTGGGTTCTGCTACAGACCCTAAACTCCCCATGACTTAGTAATTAGTGTTGGAGAATTATGGCCAAAAATTAACATTCTACAGCCAACTGGTAAAGAGCTTCTTTGACTTAATTAGGTGGGTCCTTGGACAAAAGACATGCTGTCCATAATCAGACCTATCCTTGAATCATTCCTGATTTGGTAGGACCTTCCAGAGCTCCATTAATTTAACCTTTGGGAGTCTAGGGCCATCCCCATAGCCTAGTGAAGCATTAAAATGAAACTTTAGTAGAGAATTCTACTTGCCTTTAGAAGAAAAGACATTTTCCTAATTATGAAATTCTTACAATAAAATCATGTTATGTCATTTCTGTTAGAACTAGAACTAACTTTAATATCAGGCAAAGCTAGCCTTAGTGAGAACCTAAATAAAACAACAAGAAATGAATATTTAATAGCTATATATATATATGTAAAGTATTAGAATTTCAGACCTCTGACCCCCAGGCCCTGAAAGCTTTTTCCATTCTTAAGGCATTCATAGCATAAGTTCCGAAATTGTCAATTCCTTCCTCCTGGCCTGCTTCCATGATGGCCCCATAGAGCATGGCAGAGTCTTCTTGTTTATGGTAGAGCTCCCAGCCCAGTTCACCTGAAATAAACCCACCATTATCATGCGATCATCATGAGACAACAAAGGTCACTGATTCTAACATACATTAGCTAGAAATCCATAAAACAAGAGGAGACAGTCTACTTATGCAATAAGTGTAAGCTGTTGACTTTCTAAAAAGCACGTTTCAGACAAACTACTACAAAACCTGGTTCCAAGGCATTCCTGTACACACTGATTCACTTAGACCAGATGCTAATTCATATATACATTCATATTTATATATATATACATATATATATTTGTGTATGTATGTGTGTATGTACATATACACATATATATCTACTACTCCACTTAGCTGCCCCTACCATATACATATGTGTGTGTGTGTGTGTGTGTATGTGTGTGTGTGTATGTGTGTGTATGTATATAAATGGTAAGGGCAGCTAGGTGGAATAGTGGGTACAGTGCTGGGTATGTGATTTGTCCTTTGTTCTCAAAGAGGACCATGACATCAGGGAGATGATTCCATGACTTGCAAGTGAATTGGATTTAAGTGAGGGAGGGCTGTGCAAAATCACCAGCCACACTTTCTCCCCCAGAGCCATCTGGGTCCAATGGCTAGATATAGATTAGAACAACTGGAGATGGCCCAGCTAAGTGCTGGGCCTGGAGTTAGGAAGACTCATGTTCCTGAGTTCAAATCTGGCCCCAAGCTTGGGCAAATTGATGTTTGCCTCAGTTTCCTCATCTGTAAAATGAGTTGGAGAAGGAAATGACAAACCACTCCAGTGCATATGCCAAGAAAACCCCAAATGGGGTCATGAAAAGTCAGACACAACTGAAAACAACTCAACAACAACAAATATAGTGATGCCCTTCTCTAACTATAACACAGAAATAGATGCGATTCTAATCCGTTGAAACTAGTTTATAATGATCCTTAACTGCTTTTTGCATCATAACAATCTTTCTAACAGAGATAGTGTCAAATGGATAATTAGTAATGGGGTTGTTGTTAAATTATTTTCAAATTTTAGCTTTCCCTGAAAGACTGGTGTAATAGGAAGAGTGCTGAATTTTGAGTCAGGAAGACCCAAGTTTAAATATTGACTATGACACTATGTCTCTCTGAACCTCAGTTTCCTGATCTGTGAACTGGGGATAATAATTCCTATAGTAACTTACCTTTTATGATTGGTTATCAAGCTAAAATGAGATAATGTACAACACAAATGCCAAATATTATCATTAAGGTCTTTCTTTAAATTCATTCTCTATCAGAGTCGTGGATTGTCTGAATTCTTTTGTTGCCTCATTTTCACTGCTATCTGCGAACTTCTTTTCTGTACTGCTTATGAACAATCTCTACCAACAAAGGGAAATGAACAGAGGAGTACATTTTCCTGTTTGATTGTCATCCTGATCATTTGTGGGTGGATGGGTAGGGGTAAGGACTACCTAGGAAGCTGAAGTGATGTTTCTATTTAATATTTTCTGAGTCAACCTCCCGCTACGCAGCCAGTATCTATTTCCCCTAAATTGTCCACATCTTGAAGGAATCAAAGAAATGGGAATTTTGAGACTGAAAAGCCTCAGGGAATTAGGGTACTCTAAGTGAGAGAGGTCATATCAGATGACATGTGAAGGAGGGACTTTAAAAAGGGATAATACTACACACTTCTTTTTATCTAAGGAGACCCTCTAACTCGGAATTCAGCAGAGTTCAGAGCTAGCAGGGTTCAAGCAGTTGGTATGGGCCTGGTGGTCTGGTTGACAGAGATCTCAAAAGCCAGTGAGAGAAGAAGGCATCAAGTTTTGGGTGCCTTCAAAGGAAGACGCCGACTCCATTGCCTAGGACAGCTGGCTGATGTCTTGGATAACAGTCTCACCTAGTCAGAGTTTAGGAGCTGAGAACAGTAATTACTAGAAACAGGTAGTGAGATGATTTCTCCTTCATCAAATCAATCAGTTGACAAGCAGTTTTAAATGCCCACCATTATGTGGAAGGTACTGAAGATACAAAGATGAAGGCAAAATAGTCCCTGCCCTCAAGTTTACATTTTATCCTTCCCCTGTGACTTTAATGGTGGTGGTGGTAAGTGGGGAGACATTGGGTGTGTTTACCCCCCCCCCCAAAAAAAAGGTTTTGGATGACCGGCAGAGAGTTAAGTATAGATGAGAATGTGTGTGTGTGTGTGTGTGGGAGGGGGAGGGTTGAACATTCAGATCTTATTAGTATAAACTATAGCTCCAATGGAGTTTTAAACTTGTAATTTCTCTTCTATAAAGGGACTCTAGTTTGGCACTGAAAGAGAAAAATTTGGGGGTCAAAGTAAATCCCTTGCATGCATACAAAGGTATTTCAACTGGTAGCTCAAGTCTTGGAGGGCCTTCTAGTGGCTCGCTCAGATACAGCCTGCATTCCAGGTCCTGTTGGTCTTTGTAGATGAACTAGTAGAAATGAACTGGAAAAGCTCCATTTCAGAGCCCCTTCTGGTGTTCCAGGCAGATAAACACTTCGAATAGCTATCAGTCACATTCCCACTTTCCTTTTGGAGTCAATATAAAGCATATATCCCTATGTGCATAGGGAAATCCCTCTGATGGCTAAAATCAAGTTTATCCATGTTTTCTTTGTTTCTTACCACCCTGAATAATTAAGAATTGGTGATATTGTAGCTTTTAATGACACAGTCATAGCAGAGGCACCAAGAAATCTTTCTACACAGATAACATTGTACACACACATATAGATTTTTTTTCACATACATTGCCTCATTTGATGCTCACAACAACTGATCTACGAATTGTATAGTACAAGTATTATTATCTCCATTTTACAGATGAAGAAACTGAGGCTGCTTAGAAAGACTAAGGGACTTTCATGAAGTCCCACAGCTACTACACAGCTGGCCTAGGACTCCAGTCTAGGCTTTGTGATTCCAAATCCATTTTCCTTTCCATTATACAGCATTGCTTCTAGGAGATATTTGAAAGGTTTAGAATAAGAGGTTCTTAACCCTTTTGTGTCATGGATCCCTTTGGCATGGATCACCTTTCTGGTGAAGCCTATGAATTCCTCCTCAAAATATTTTTAAATAGGATTACGAAGAAAACCGATGATATTGAAATAAAGATGTCATTTTCTATTATTCACTTTCATGACCCCCCTGAAATGTCCATGAATCCCAGTTTAAGAACTCCAAAGAATAGTTCCAGTGCACAGGAGAAGGAAATCATCTCCAGCATTCTGAGATGAAGGGGCACCCTCACATGTAGAGCACGCCATCCCTCCCCTGTATAACCACGGTCCTATAGTCATCTCCCTCTCTCATTCTTCCTTTATCTTTTGAACTGGTGATGAAATATTTGCCTGGGGAATCAAAAGAATAGTTATGGCAGACAAAATGTTAACATCTAGAATGATAATAAAATTTGGGTGAGAGGAATAGTTGCTTTGGATGCCCATCTAAGAGAGATTTTATGTGTGTGCACACATGTGTATATATATATATATAATGTACACATATATACATATATTATAATAATGCATACATATTCATACATATGTCTATGTAGAAAGATGACAGATATTATCATCCCATCAGATTGTGTAAGATTTTAATTAATATGACCAGATTGGTCCCAAACTCTCACCTGTATAGGATATCCTAATAGCAGTAACAGGAATATTGGAAATTGTTAAAGGTTTAGATTGGAGGAATTTGAATGCATCACTACTAAGATCAGCAGAGGTCAGTCTCTGAAGAACTCTTCTTGCTGATGGCCCCGCTACTCCAAGGACTCCAAGTTCATCTGTAATATTTTCAATTTCGACATCATATCCACCTTTCACAATTTCTTCTTCAATCCATCTGTATTTTGAAGAGTAGACATTTTGTTAAAAATCTTTCCTGGGCAAAGGATTTCGCAATTTATTTTCTTGAGGCTTCATTTAGAGACTAAAAATATTAAAGACAGTAAGAACTCTGATTAACGCAATGACTAATCACAATTCCAGAGAGCTGATAGACATTTAGGGGCAGCTAGGTGGCGCAGTGAATAGAATGCCTGGCCTGAAGTCAGGAAGACTCATATTCCTGAGTTCAAATCTGGCCTCAGACACTTACTAGCTGTGTGACCCCTGGCAAGTCACTTCACACTGTTTGCCTCAGTTTCCTCATCTGTAAAATGAACTGGAGAAGGAAATAGCAAACCACTCCATTATCTCTGCCAAGAAAACCCTAAATGGGGTCACAAAGAGTCAGACACAATTGAGATTGATGAACAAACAACAACAATGAATATTTCCTGACAGAGAAATGATGGACTCAAGATGCTTAATAAGACATACATTTTTCAGACACAGCCAATGGGAGAATTTGTTTTGGTTGACTATGCATATTTCTTATAAGGGTTTTGGTTTTTTTTTTCCAATGAGGGGGTAGGTGGGCAGGCAGGGAGGAGGCTGGTGAGACAGAAAATAAATGCTTACTAATTAAAGATAATTAAAAGGCGTAATCAATTCCCCAAAAGATGATGCATGCTGTTCCTATTCCTAAACCCCACTCTCAGAATCAAGGATGAGAAAGTTGAACAGGTCCTGCCACATGCCACCTCAGAATGGCTGTCCTACGTCTACTAGAGGCTGTTGCACAGCCCTGCCTCACTTAAATCCAATTCACTTGCAAGTCAAGACATCATCCCCTTGATGTCATCGGGCCTCTTTGAGAACAAAGGACGAACAACAACTGTCTGCTCTGCTGTTCAACTCAAGTTCCAAAGAACTTAAAAACTTGGAGATGGCTGTAGTGCAGTGGAACAGGTTTTGGACTCAAAATAAGAGGCCTGAGTTCTGAACTTGGTTCTGCCACTGTGTGAATTTGAGTAAATTACTTGCTTTCTGAGTCTCAGTTTCCTCACCTGTAAAATGGGGATAATAATAACAGTAATACCCATACTACAGAGTTGTTGTGAAGATTAAATTGAGGCAATGCATGTAAAACATTTTATAAAGTGTTAAATGTGTCAGTTATTATTATTAACCTGGATAAATGATCAGAAATAATAGCCAAAGAATAGCTGACATATAACTCTTTATAGTTTATTTTTACAAAGCATACCCTACTTCATTTATTCCTCACAACTATGTGTGGTAACTGGCAAATATCAGTATCCCATTTTACAGCTGAGTTTCAGAAAAGTAAAGTGATTTGCTCAAGGTACACAGGAAACCAATATTAGAACCAGGAATTAAGCCCAGGATTTGGATTTTTAAATTCTATATTCTTTCCATCATGCCACAGCTGCCTCCTTAAATTGGACAGGTACCAATGCAGAGAAGTATCACGCAAGAGGCAAAGTCAAATTACTCAAACGCAAGATAAGAAATGAAAGGCTATACAAAAATACATGTATTTCTCTTTTGGGCACTAGGTAGAGCAATGTATAGCGCTCTGGGCCTGGAGTCAGGAAGACCTGAGCTCAAATCCAGCCCAGACACTAGCTGTGTGACCCTGTTTGCCTCAGTTTCCTTATCTGTAAGTGAGCTAGAGAAGGAAATGGCAAACCACTGTAGTATCTTTGCCAAGAAAACCCCCAAAAGGGGTCATGAAGAGTTGGACATGACTGAAAATGACTCAACAACAACAATTTCTCTTTAAGGAAACCTACTATACAGAAACGTAGCACAGCAGCTATGTGCCATAGTGGATAGAACACTGGAGCCAGGAAAACCTGAGTTCAAACCCAGCCTCTGGGATCCTGGCCAAGAAAACCCCAAATGGGGACGCAAAGAGTCAGACACAAAAAAAAACTATTGAACAACAATATACAAAAACTCATACTTACAAGACAAATAGAGTAGGTGATAATTATTTACAGCATTAATCATTCCACCAAAAATTGAGAATGAATCAAATAGTGATTTCTTAAACATGATTTTTTTTTTCAAAATTTCATTTTAAGCCCAAATTTCTGGGAAGGCCTCCCTTCTACAAGATGAGGTTTTCACCACTACTTCAAGTCACTGATGCTTCTTAGAATCAAATGCATAATTGCTCTGGCCCTGGTAACAGCACTATAAAAACTTCAAAGACTTCTCATTTCCAGGAGCTTTTAGGGTTTTGTTGAATATCTCTGTAGGGATTACTTTATAGCTGCATAATGATCTGCTGATCTGAATATATAAAGAAGACAAAACTTATGGTATAAGCTAAAGGGAATTGCTATCTGTTTTCCTTCTCAAGATCGTTATGTATTCTGCATATAGAAACGTAACAGCTATTGTGTACTCTGTGGGGCTTTTGAAATTTCTGTCTTGAGACGTTCCTCTTCTCTACATAGAACTAACCTGTGACAGTCCCCTTGGTTTTAGATACATCTTGTCAGATCGTGCTGGGTGAAGACAACGCCATGTTATGAAAACAAATACTGCAAGACAATAGAGCTCATCTATCAGAATAAAGGTCTGGCCTTTATGCTAGAAGGTCAACAATTTAAATTTAGCACTGGACCAAAGAGAAAGTGGCATATAAAGGGAACACAGTAGTTTAGAATAATAATAATAATAACAATAACAATCTCTCATATTTATGAAGTGCTTTATACTTCACATAGTGCTTTACACATGTTATCTCATTTGATCCTCACAATAAATCCTTTCAGGAAGGTTCTATCACAACCCTCATTTTGTTTTTGTTCAGTTGCTTTTCAGTTGTGTCTGACTCTTGCGACCTTATTTGGGGTTTTCTTGTCAGAGATACTGGAATGGTTTGCCATTTCCTTCTCCAGCTCATTGTACAGATGAGGAAACTGAAGCAAAGAGGGCTAAGTGACTTGTCCAGGGTCACACAGCTAGTAAGCGTCTGAGGCCAGATTTGAACTTAGGAAGATGAGACTTCCTGACTCCAGGCGCTGAGCTCTATCTATTGCTACACCTAGCTGCCTGCTATCCTCACTTTACAGATGAGTAAACAGACAATTGATCTGAAACTAACAGACTAGTTAACTAAACCGTAACTAACAATTAGTCTCAGACTAACAGCTAGACGGAAAGGCTGTTAGTCTCAGAACATTTAAGTGACTCGTCCGGGTAGAATTCCAACCCAGCTCTTGTTGACTTCCTGGTTCGAGACATTACAATATACTTCTTCTACTTAACTCGATATGTTCTCTTATAGGAGGAAAGAATTCCAAGACTCAGTCATTCCTTTTTGGCTGCTGTGTTCCCTTCCATTTTTTGTTTGTATAGGGTACACTCATTCTTGCCTCACAACCCTATTGCCCCGCACACTGCCTGGAGCCCCACAGGCTGATAAGACATGCTTGTTGATTAATTTGTTTCTTTTTAAAATAAGTCCAGGAGGGATGTATTAAGAAATAAAGGTAATGAAAAAGCAAAAGAGATCATCAATACATTTAAAAAACATAAAATAAAAGTCAGAGAGATTTAGAAATAGTAGGTACAGAGTGAAATTATGCCTTCATTGCCTGGTAGGTACTTCAGAGGAAAGAATGAATTCTATTCATGCAAGCTTGAGTCCATTTTTTAGTTGTATCAGTTGTGTTCAACACTTCATGACTCCATCTGGGCTTTTTTCATCTGACAAGATGTATCTAAAACCAAGGGGACTATCACAGGTTAGTTCTATGTACAGAAGGGTGCTTTTGCCATTTCCTTCTCCCGCTCATTTTACAGATGAGGAAACTGAGGCAAATAGGGTTAAGTGATTTGCCCAGGGCCTCATACGGCTAGTGTCTGAGGCTGGAATTGAACTCAAGAAGATGAATCTTCCTAACTCCAGGCCTAGCACTCCATCCATTGAAATATCTAGCTGCTCCTTTTGAACCCATGGTTATCTTATGAAAATAACACTTGCCTCAGGTCGTGAAGCTCTGACCCAGAACCAGTTATCAGTAAGAACTCCCCTGGAGATTGCTGGCAGACGGTCATCTCAGCATAAACTCTGCCTTTTGGTGTCAACATGTGACTTATATTTGTAAAACCCACCTACAACAAAGGAATGCATAGTTACCTCTGGGTAAAAGGGGAAAAAAAACCTTCTATGTTTTCCTGGTACAAAATACAAGCAAAATGTTTAGTCACTGATTAAAAGGCCTTTAATCTATTCACATATGCTAAGGAATATGACTTTGGATCATAATTTTTATGTGTTAAACCTGACTAGGAAAAAATTAGTTTCCGAATTGTTCTCTTAGGTGATTGTTTTTAAATAGTTCATTCTCTCCAGTTAGTCTGCAGTTCTAAACATCCAGATTATTAGTAGTCAATACTGTTTTCAAGTTCTTGACATAATTTCTCCTCTAATATATTGCAAACTCCTTGAGGACAGGGACCAAATAGCATTTATTTTGGCATCTTCCCAAGGTGTAGTATATTCCATAGAGTAGATATGATCTAGAATGGCATATTGCATATGGTAGGTATTTGATGAATGAATGAATGAATGAGTAAATTAATGATTAAACAGAGTAGGTCCTTTGAGTAAGACCCTTGATAATGCCAGAAGTATACTCTTCCTTTAAGAAAATTCACTGGTTATATAAAAATTTGAATATATAAAAGAGACAAAACTTACAGTATAAGCTAAAGGGAATTACTATCTGTTTTCCTTCTCAAGATCATTATGTATACTAAAATAATTTTTTTTTTGTAATTTGTCTTTGGAGGCAGTTAGGTGGCAGAGTGCATAGAGCACTGGGCCTAGAGTCAGGAAGGCCTGAGTTCAAATGTGGCCTCACTTACTAGCTGTGTGACCCTGAGCAAGTCATTTAACCCCTTTTGCCTCAGTTTCCTCATCTGTAAAATGAGCTGGAGAAGGAAATGGCAAACCACTCTAGCATCTCTGCCAAGAAAATCCCCCAAAAAAGGGGACACAAAGAGTCAGACATGACTGAAACAACTGAACAACAATACAAATTTGTCTTTCCAGAAAAAAGGCTGAAGGATCCAAGAGGCCACTACCCCTGAACCTTGTGTCCTCATATTCTTATTTACCTTTGGAATGACATTTGCAAAGAGGTGATCCAACAGTTTAAGAGAATCTTTGCCTCTGACCTTAAACTTGCCAAATGGTGATAGGTCAATCACCCCCACTTTTTGCATAACTTGTTGATACTCTAAACCCACCGGCTGGAACCAGTTTGTACGTTGGAAGCTTGGCCTGAAACACAGTTTTGAGTATCATAAGACAACTGCCACTCCATTTTATAGAATCACAGAGCAAAAGTACTTCTACTACAACCTGCTGTTTCCTATGTTGTTTAAATTCCATCGAGGAAAAAAAAAACCAACAATAACATTTTCTGGGATCTAACATCTAGAATGGAATGCAGAAATGATCTAGTTTAACTGATTCATTTTACAGATAAGAAGACGGAGAGGGGCAGCTAGGTGGTACAGTGGATAGCACACCAACCCTGGAGGCAGAAGGACCTGAGTTCAAATCCAACCTCAGATATTGACTATCTATGTCACCCTGGGTAAGTCACTTAACCTCTACAGCCTTCAAAAACAACAGAAAAGAAAATGAGACCCAGTGACTTGCCAGTGATTCCTACATGTAGGAATCAACAGAAGCACGATTTGAACCCAGGTTCCCTGACTCCCAGGGCCAAAGGACTTTTTTTTTTCCATTGTACACTGCTGCATCATCAAATTACAGCTTGCAAATCATTCATGTGAAGTAGACTCTAGCCTCTTTTTAGTTACTCATGTGTTACTTTCATCCATGTGGCAATGAACGGATAAAATATTAATTCATTTGACTAGAAAAAGAGATAGAACATAAGGACTCCCTGAGCTGGAAGGGAGCTTGGAGGTCATCTAGCCCTTGTTTTAGAGACAAGACAGCTGAGGCCCAAAGTGATGGTCAGTTAGTGGCCTGACTCCCAAACTGGTGCTCTCTCCCTTACGCTGTGCACTTGGACTGCCTCCAAATGGAGGAGACGGGGTTTAGCTTCCTAGTAAAGTGCCCCAGCTGGGAAACAAGTTGGAGTTTGAGAGCTAAAATGTGAGAGTGGAGTGGGGCTGGCATTTACCTCGATCACTCAGGAACCAGATGAAACAAAATGAAACTGTTTTACCCTCAGGATGATCCGTGTTGGCGGCCTACACAGACTGAAGTCAGTGAATAATGGCCCACTTTGCTTTGTGCTGAGTAGACCTTTACTTTGTGTAGAAATGGAAGCTTCATAAAACAACCAAAATGAGGTTGGAGATAAAGCTAATGAACTACTTGATTTGCTATTTTCTTTTGGATTACAAACTCAGAAAAAGCACATATGAATTTGGTAAACTCCTCCCCCTCCCTGATTATAAAGTTCTTCCTATGTGGAAACCCCTCTGTCATACAACCGGTTAACTGTTTTGGGTTTTTGCCTGGGGCACTGAGAGGATAGGGGCAGCCAGGTGGCACAAGGGATAATGCACTGGGCCTAGAGTCAGAAAGGCCTGAGTTCAAATCTGGCCTCAGACTCTTACCAGCTGTGTGACCCTGGGTGAGTCATTTAACCCTGTTTGCCTCAGTTTCCTCATCTGTAAAATGAGATGAAGAAGAAATAGCAAACCACTCTAGTATCTTTGCCAACCAAACCCCAAATGGGGTCACGAAGGGTCAGAGGCGACTGAATAACAACTGAGAGGAGAAGTGACTGGCCCAGCATCACAAAGTTAGTCTGTGTCCCAACAGGCAGGACTTGAACCCAGGTCTTCCTGACTCTTAGGCCAGCCCTCTGACCATTAGGCCTTACTGCCTTTCATTGATAAACATCATCGGGATTGATAAAAGCGTGACGACCATGCCTTATAGCATTTTTGAAGAATAAAATAATTGTTTGAAAGGTATACTTTATCTTAACAGAGAGGGCTTGGTAGATGATCTCTCCTCTCATTCCAGAAAGGATCTGCCTCCTGCTTTCCCATGGGGAACCCAACACGGGAGGCCTTTGTGATGTTTGTGAATCCCCAGCTGCACATCACTACACATCATGGGTGCTTTCAGTATGGCACCTCTAGTCTGCTCCAGAGGCAGTCCTCAGTGCCTCCTTGTGATTTTGCAGAGAGGACCCTGGAGAAGCACCCTTATTGTGAAACAGGGATTTCTCCAGTCTTTTGGGTACTGCCTAATGCTATTTAGGTCTGAAAATGTCTGGGAAAGCCCAAAGGGTCCTTGGGGCCAGACCATAGCTAAGGTTCTAAATCTCCCTCTTAATCCCGCAAAGGTTCACATAGCAAACAGTGGAGCTGATAAATGCCCCTAAAACAAAAGAACATTTGCTCCAAGTGGCCCAGTGGAGGGGAGGAGAAGGGGAGAAGGTTGGCATACTGGTTCAATCCTGGTTTCCTTCCATTTCAAAGCAGACAATTTGTACTATGGTAACAACAACACTGTGAATCATACTTATATCCAGGCTCGTGTCCAGGCTTGTAAAACCAATGTGGCTGCTCCCATCCTGCATGGAAGCCCATGGAGCACTTAGAATTAAGGATATTATAAATCCCACTGATTCTTTTAGTAGGTCTCCCAGCAAACCTTTCTTCTTTAGGGTAACCCACTGGAAAGGTGAAAGGGAAAAAATGTGAACACACACTAAATATCACGTAGACAGGCATGTAAAACATATTTACAAGGTTCCCCAAATGCATTTCTTATTTTTAAAAACCCAGAAGCAATGACTATGCATTGTAGGGTTACATGAAGAAATACTGAAATCCCTACTTAGCATCATCCCTGCACAAAACCATGAATCCACTTAGGATCTTAAATAAACACGCTTCTAATTTGGTTTTATCAAGTGTGCAAACAAAACATTATTCAAAATGTTGTCTGTGTTATGTTTTTGAAAAGATGTGCTTTCTAGAGATCTATAAAAGTCAACCAGATGGTGGCTGCTGCAAACCCTCTTATGGGACCACTATCGAATGACAAATTAGCCCTTTACCAATATTGTTGAATCCATAAGACTCTCTCGCTTTAGCCTCTGTATACTGAGTTGTTGTCCATTTTCCATAACGATTGGGATCCAGTTCAATCAGGTCAAAAGGAGGTTCTCCACCAAGAATCCAATCACTGAGATATTTCCCTACCCCACCAGCATGGATGATCCCATATCTTAAAAAAAAAAAAGAGAGATAAAACATCCTAATACTAGAACATCTATTAGAATTTTTTTCAGTAAAGTCAGAAGTGATAAGAGACATTTAATGTATTTGCCAATATTTGCATCAGTGTGTAAGGGGGTCTTTAGAACATGGCATTTAAAAAAAATCTCCATATTGTCATAAATCTTTTCCTCTAAAAAATGAATTTCAGAGGATCCAGATTCAACTACCTGTCTGAGAGAGACCTAGTTTGCCTCCCCACTGTGAGGGGACAGCAGACTGTTCTGGATGTTCCTTTTTGAGGGGAAAAAAGTGAAGATCAAAGCAAGAAACAGAAAATAATGAAAGTTCAACAAGCAGACAATAACTGTGATCTCACTGGTCTTCTGGAGCCAAGCTTGATTATAATGAGTCATAGGAGGGAGTGCTAAAGATTTGTGTTGTAGCAAGTAAAAGGTAGAAATCTTTCCTCAGGCTGGTGCTTAGTTCACCCTCCCCTGTGGATGTCTTTAAGGCAACCTAACAAAGAACAAGTCGCTCCGTGAGAAGAATGATTTATGTGTTGTGGGCAGAAAGGAACACTGGTTTCAATTTTTTTTTCTACCGGCTTACCTGTTCGTGAGGAATGATAAAAGATAATGTTAGTAATAGTTGTCACCATAACATAATAATGCTTTAAGGCTTACAAAGCACTTTGTACATGTTATCTGATTTGATCCTCACAATAGTTTTATTAGGGAGCTACTGTTATGACCTCCATTATACAAATGAGGAAACAGAGGCTGAGAGAGGAGGGTGGGATAACTCTGTATCTATATACAAAACTGTTGTAAAATCAAGATAATGACTGACTATGGTAATTAAATATATATATATATATACATAGGTATAGACATATATGTTACACATTAAACATGTGACATTAACATGTCACATGTTTAAATGGAGTAGGAGATAAGATTATAGAGTATTGAGACTGGTTTTCCCTATGGTTTGTGGAATCAGTCTTCTCTAAGAATAGATGTGATCCTGTGCTTTTTAATGCAATTTACCATTCACGTCATTCAATGGTATCAAGTTAACTTCAAATGTGGGGAGATCACCCTGTCCCTGAAGGCCATACTTTAGGTCCAGAGAGTCTTCTGCTTGTAGATTTATAACTGGAAGGGATTATAGAAATCATTGAGTCCATTCCTCTTATTTTACAGATGAGGAAACTGAGGCCAGAGTAAATACTTGGCCAACTAGGAAGTAAATGGCAGAGATGAAATTTGAACATGGGTCCTCTGAGTCCAAAGCCTATGTCTTCTCCTCTACCTGTTAAGTGGTAAGTTTATTTGGAAGGACTAGGGGAGCCTCAGAGGAATAGGGAAGGTATATGCACAGTTTCCTTTGCTTGAGGCATGGACTCAAGCTGCCTCTCTCACTCAGCTCAGCATTGATATTTCTATCTTCCTTCTTTGAAAAATGGTATTAAAAATAAGAAAAATTCAAATGTAATAAACAGTGCCTCCAGAGTGGGGAGACATCTAGGTTGAAAGGACTAAGACCACAAAAGCTCATGGCATCTAGCTTATGCCCTGGAGCAATTTGTGAAAGTGATGCTAGATTTCTGGGTGGTCACAGAGTAAGGTTCTTCAGAATACTTTGGGGAGCAAGTCTGGCTTGTACCAGAAGCTCACAATTAATATGCAGATGAGCTCCTTTAAAAGCCTGGCCAGGCACAGCCCACTGCCAAACAAAACAGAGTCCTTAATCCTATCACCAGATCCTCCAGTTGTAGCTGGGAATTCCAACACCCCAGCAACTTAGAGATGGTGGAGACACCCTGGGATGCCCTGAGGCCACCACATGCTGCCGTTGCTGCTGATTCCACTGATGATACACATGGGTGATACATGGGGATGGAATGCAGTGAATCTGCCCCAGTGGGCTGTGTGTAATTGTGCCAGCATGGTGGTTGAATGTGGAAGGCATCTGGGAAAAGGGTGTAACAACCGTGGGATGGCATTACCTTTTTATTGTCGAGCAGTTGTTTCAATTGCATTGGACTCCTTATGACTCATTTGGGGTTTTCTTGGCAAAGATTCTGGAGTGGTTTGCCACTTCCTTCTCCAGCTCATTTTACAGATGAGGACAGTGGAGGAAGCAGGATTAAGCGACTTGTCCAGGATCACACAGCTAGTGTCTGAGGCTGGATTTGAACTCAGGGCTTCCTGGCTCCAGGCCAGGCGCTCCACCACCTACCTGCCTTCTGGGATACAGTTAGGGTGACCTTGTAGGTTGTTTTATCTTTGTAGTCCCAGTTCCAAGTGCAGTGCCTCACACATACTAGGCATTGAATAAATGTTTGTGGATTAGCAATCTGGAGAGAAAAGATTGTCCTTTTTTTGGGACAGACCTGCAATTTCCCTGGTATTGGGAACTCCAGATGAGGAAATTCCTTCCAACAGTACAGATCAGCAACTGCTCTGCAGCTTAGAGAGTTGGCTGGGGGCACTGAGAGATTGAGCTACTTGCCCAAAGGCACATGGCCAGCTTGTGTTACTGGTGGGACTTGTTCTGATCCTTAAAGACCAGATAAAACCTCGCTAACTAAGGTCACTTTCTTCTTCATTTCCTGGAAATGAGTGATAACGACTTCTCCTTTGTTTTATCTTTACTCTGGAGAAAGGAATTCTAGTAAGGTGAAGCGGTACCTTTACTGTAAAAGTAGTGGGCAGCTGGGTGGTACAATGGATGGAGAGCCAGGCCAGAAGTCAGGAAGACTCATCTTCCTGAGTTCAAATGAGAAAACCACTCCAGTGTCTTTGCCAAGAAAACCTCAAGTGAGGTCATAAAGAGTCAGACACAACTGAACAACCTTTACTTCCTCCTTGGTTTTATCACTAGGGAGGGCCCTATGTGGGAAGAAAAGCAGGTGGGGGAGGTGGAGGAAGTAGCTCTGCCAGATTGTGTGTGAAAAACACTGAAACTGATCCCTAGTCAGCCTAGAAATACACCTACCTGTACTTGCACCTGCAGCCACACCAAGGCAGTGGGACTATCCCTCCCTATCTCCTTCCTTACACTCCCAGGTAGTCTTTGTGTGACTTCCTTCCCTCTTCAAGACTTCTTTTATGGTTCTTGTCTTTTTGGAGGAGGGATGGTACATGGATTGATGGACAGTAAAAAGAACAAAGGAAAGAAGGAGAGGACCCAGTTACAAAAGGCTTGGTGGAGTTCCTCAGCTTCCAATCATATGCCCTAGGAATAACAAGGAAGTCAGGCGCTGAATTTGTAAAGCCAGAAATGTGGACACAGGCTCCATTAGCAGAAGGATTAAAATTGGGTACAATGAAATGGAAGAGAATCTGTAATCATGAACCATGATTTGGCAGTAAGGTAGGCCTGACATCAATATTCACAAAATTAATGGAGCAGATACTAAAAACAAAACATCAGGAGGATAATAGACCCATAAGGAGGAAACCACCATGGGGAATTTAACCAAACAAATCATGTTAGACAAACGGGAACTGTAAGATTGGTGGTAGAAAGAGAGCCTCAGATGGGCTACATGGGAGGTCATTAGAATCATAACTGTTATATCATTTCACGAAAATATGCTCATAGAATTAATTCCAATTGTCTTGTAGAAGGATACTGAGAGACAACAGAACCATGTAATGGAAATGGCGGATAACTAGAGCAAATGGAGTTCTTGAACTGTCTAGCCCCCCTGGTGAGTGCATTAAGCATTAAATATATACAAATAATTAAGCAGTTAGCTAGGCAGCTAGGTGGTGGAATACACAGAGTGCTAGGCTGGGGAGTCAAGAAGACTTGAATTCAAATCCAGCCTCAGATACTTATTAGCTATGTCACCCTGGGCAAGTCATTCAACTTTTCTTTTCCTCAGTTTCCTCATCTGTAAAATGAGGATGATAATACCACCCACCTTCCAAAGTTGTTGTGAAGATCAAATGAGATAACGTATGTTAAGCACTTGGAAAACCTTTAAATACTATGTAAATACTAGCTTATTATATTATATCATAATATACTTATATATGACATGTAAATATATTACAATATATAATATATTATTATTAAACAGTGTCACAGTTGTTATTCTCGAGCTGAATAATTTCCATTTCTACCAGTTCACTCACTGTTGTTGTTCAGACCTGTGATTTCATTGACATTGGGAACTTCTGGTGCAGAAATTTCCTCCACTGTTGCAGATAGGCAACTTGTTTTCGAGGGTTGCCTAGAGCATGAAAAGGTTAAATAACCTATCTGCAGTCACATAGCTAATATGTGTGAGAGGCAAGACTTGAACCTGCATCTACTTAACTCCAAGGCCAACTCTCTATCCATTATGTCATGCTACTGAAAAGATTAAAATTGATTCTGTGTCATTTTCTTATCGATCCTATTTACCAGTAATTGGTTTTGTCCTGTAACTGCTTAAGTCATGGTTCTTTGTCTCTGAACTTAATTCAGAGTTCAGCTAGCCCGTAATGGGTTAAGTTTAAAAATCCAGCTCTCCTGCCTCAAGGAATTTAACTGACCTTTGAGAATGTATTAGAAAGCAAGGTATTTTTATGCCACCAAGCTATCCTTCAAGGATATTTGGTTTGCTGTCCAAAAGTCTGAGCCACTGTCTCACACCCAAACTCAAACATGTTGCTAGCCCCCACTATCAAACTTCCAATAAATCGTGTTGTTCCCTACACCTCAGTTCTGTAACCATTCATGTCCTCAATCCCATGATTGCAGTCTTCTCACTCTAGGTCTTTGCCTTAATGGAGGCAAGCTATGAACCCATTATTGACAGGTAGCATGCCCCTGCTAATAAATATTACCTTGCTCAAGTTTACCTCAGTTACCCTTTTGTTAAAATTCAATCACAACACTATCATCTTACTTCAACAAGACTCTCTTAAAATACAACAAAAATAAGAGCTCACATATTTCATTCTTTTAGACTTTTAAAAACACTTTAATACATTATTTCATTTGATTCTCACAACATACTTGTAAGGCAGCTATAACTATTTTACAAATGGGCAAATTGAGGCTCAGAGAGATGGTGACTTGCCAAAACTCAGACACGTAAGTAAGTGATCAAAGTGGCATTTGAACTTGGGTCTTCTTGACTCTCCACTAAGACATACTCTCAACTCTTCTTGGCATCTTGGAGAGCATATATTCCTCTATCAAGAGAAGAAAAATCTCTGTCCCCTTTTCATGCCTTCTTGTCTGAGCTCATGTGACAGGTGTCATTTAAAATAACAATTAGGATAAATAAATGTACCAGAATTATTGAATTTTACTGAAATACTTACCCAAAACCGATGGCCACCCAGTAATTTTTAACACCCTGGTGTGGTCCCACCATGGGCAGAATGTCCGGAGAGTAGGTGATAGGACCAGAAACAATATTGATGATGTCAGCCTTTCTCAAGACTGGGATCATATCCATGGCAGCTTCCACATTTTCCATGATTCTGTCTAAATCAGACTCAAAAAGTTCCTTTCCAAAACCTGAAAACACATTTCACTGTTACTCAGCCACTGATCTGTTTTTAAATAATGCACATTCAATTTAGGAGACCACTTGTAGTAGAAGACAAACTGTCAATAAAATGCTTTCATGTTAATAGTTATCATCACTGAGAATAAGAAAAGGATTAGTTATGAAATTAAACCTTTTTAAATTCCATAATTTTTCTATGTATGATTTATTACCCACTTAGTCTACTTTCTGATTTTCCCAAATGATTTTACTTTAAAATGAGCAATCGTTTTCTTTGACACCAATTAGCTCTTAACCTATTCTACCTTCTGTGTGTGGGGTAAGTGGGCTGACAAAAGTTCTAAGCTAAATAAATAGCCAAAGGCTGGCTCATAACTAGGCTTGATCCAGGACAACAGACAATGAAATGTACTTCCCTTCTCTCTGTGAAGAACTGAGGGACTGTGGCTATAGAATAAACCATCAGGCAGTTGCTATGTGTCTTGATTTTACTTAACAGTTTTTCTTTGTTACAAGGGAAGATTCAGTGGGGGGGAGGGAGGGACATAAAGGGAAATTACTAGAATATAGAATAAAAAGTATTACTAAGACTTTGAAAAGATAGAAGCATAAATGTGACAGGAAATATTCTGTTATTGTTTAGTTGTTTCAGCCACATCCAATTTTTCATGACACCCTTTGGGGTTTTCTTGGCATAAATACTGGAGTGGTTTGCCATTTCCTTCTCTAGCTCATTTTACAGATGAGGAAACTGAGGCAAACAGGGTAAAGTGAACTTGTTCAGGGTCATAGAGCTAGGAAGTATCTAAGGTCAGATTTGAACTCAGGAAGAGGAGTCTTCCTGACTTTAGGTCCAGTGCTCTATACACTGCACTACCTAGCTGCCCGACAGGAAGTATGCATAATAATAAAAATTGCAAAACTGCAGAAGGGCAGGGGAGTCAAAATAGAATACCTGGGAAAAATCACTCCAAGATCTATGGTGATCACAATAATCATCTTCTTTCTATTTCTCCCTCACAAATCTTTTTTTTTTTAAATCTGTCATTTCATTACTGTATTCTCTGAGGTAGAAACTCCTCCCCTCAACACTTGCTCTGCAGTGTGCAGCCTGAAAGTTAGCCGGGGACACTCGGAGGTTAAGTCTCTTGCCCAAGGGCACATAATCAGTGTGTGTCCGAGGTGGGCTCTCTCTGGACTAGACCCCACTGCCTCTCATATTAGTTGACACCTATGCACATACACCATTCAAATACAGTCAGCGGTGGGGTATTTTTCCTTTCTGTGTCCCTGGTGTGCCATTGATAAAAAATAAAGTATAAATGAGAGAGTCTAAAAAGATTTTAAAAAAAAGAAAGGAGAGAGAATGGCATAGGAGAGTGAAACAGTAGCATTAGAGGACAGGGGCACTCTGGAGTCTTTGGCCTTCATTCTGCATAGAGAAGATGGCACCAAATGATGAGATTCATTTTCATCCTGATTGAGATACGAGTGGGCCAGGTGGCTTTGTTTAAGAGCAGGGAACTCTTTCAGAAATAACTGGAATTTGGAGGCAGAGAGAATCAAATTGGCACCTACATTTTCACTCTGATTTGATTGGGATCATTTGGCCAAGACAACCTATGGGTTAGGCCTTCGCCAGGGAAGCCCTCATATTCTGAGCTAAGTGATTCTGAGGTTTTACAAATATCTTTGGGACTAACTGTTGTTCATTTAGAGGTTTCTCATTTGTTTTCCTCCTGTAGTTAATAAAATTATTAAAATTTATACAAAGAAGAAAATAATTGTAATTAAATTAATAATAAAATTTGGGGTTTTTTGTTTGTTTGCTTGTTTTGTTTTGGGGTAGACTTGCAATTTCATTGGAATAGAGAACATGTTCTCTACCAAGGTAGATAAATACCTGCTCTACAACTTGTAGTCAGTTGCCTAGGGCGTCATGACTTACCCGGGGACACATAGCCAATGTCTATAGCCGGCAGTACTTGAACCCAGGTTTGTTTTATAACATTGTTACCTTTTGTTTACAAGTACGTATTTTCCAGGAGTGGAAAATTTACGATGCCCTGAGGGCCTCTCCCCTCTCCAGCCAGAGAAGGAACTTTTCCTAACTGCTTCTCTTTACAGTGACCTTTGGGAATTTTATTATTGAAATGAGAATTTAAAATAAATAAAATTTAAATTCTCATTTCAATAACAAAATCTAAATGGGAAACAATGAAAATAGAAAATCTGAATAGGAAAAATAAATAAAATAATGATCTGAATCAGAAATTTTAAAAAATCTGAATGGGAAAAAAAATCCTGCCCTTCCTCTTAGCTCTGAACCTCTCAAAAACGAAGTAGGTTATTTCAAAAACCTAACTAATCATTACTCCCTTTTTGTTTATCTCCCACCCACTCCCTCACTTTTCATGCTCCAAATAAAATAAAATCTGAGCCTACATTTCTCTGAATGGAATCAACTGACTCAGATATATTTATATATACTTTTCAAGTTTCATATGCATGGACACATACCTACATACAGATGTTAAGCTGAATGCCATAACCCCAGTTGCCTCTTCTACCATTATTATCTCTCTCTCTCTCTCTTTTTTTTTTTTTTTAGGCAATTGGGGTTAAGTGACTTGCCCAGGGTCACACAGCTAGTGTCAAGTGTTTGGTTTGAGGTCAGATTTGAAATCAGGTCCTCCTGACTTCAGGGCTGGTGCTCTATCCACTGCGCCACCTAGCTGCCCCTACCATTATTATCTCTTAAAATGAGTTGGTATTGGCTTTCAAACATGTAGGGTAGGGAGAGAGCGAATGGCATAAGGGTATGTGGGAAGGAGGGAGCAGAAAGAGGAAAGATAAGGCCAAGTAAGGCAAAAGGAAGGAGGGGTTGATAGGAAGAGTCCAATATCAGACAGGAGAGAGGGCAAGTGCACATTCTTTCTTACATCCCTCTTGGGTTCTTTTCAAAAGGGGCATTGGACCTCAGAATAGCATCTAACTCTCCTTGCTTCCCAGGTTTATGATTGCCAGTATTTGGGGAATTTTGTGACTTCAAAATCTCTGTGAATGGACGGACGTGTCAGTTAATGACTTGACCTGGTGGGACTCCGTTGGTCACCCAGGAATCTTGGACCTTCATTTTCTCCTGATTTTCATATGGACCAAATAAAAGCCCGTCTCGTTCCTGTCGCACATAGTACGATCCTTCCAGGTCTCGAAGAACTGCTAGTTCTTTTTTTAAAGCTTTCACTTCAGGTATGGTTGCTGTGACAAGATACTGATGATGAACCGGAATGAGAGGATGTTCTAGTCCAATCATTTTGCCAACTTCACGAGCCCAAAATCCTAAATGAATAATAATTGAGTATTTTAACATAAGCATAACAATATGGCGCTTATTCCATAAAGTGATTTGATTAAAAAGAAAAGTATTGGACAGAATTGCTTATGCATCTAGCAGAGTACAAAACACTTTCCCCTCTTTCATAATGGGAAGATGACCCTAAACGAAGGACAGACCACGGTTCTAATCTGCAATCCTCCCCTCCCCAATAAGAACTGGCTGTGTGACCCAGGGCAGATTACTTAACCTCTCTGATCCTCAACTTTATCTAGAAGTAGCATGGCATGGTGGATAGGGTGGTGGAATTGAAGTCAGGAAGAGCTGGGTTCGAATACCAGTTCTGTTACCTCATAGCTGCATGACCCTGGGCAAGTCACTCAGCTTCATTTTCCTTATGTATAAAATGAGAGGATTGGACTCAAGGGCCTTTAAGATTCCTTCCAATTCTAAATCTATGATGGTATAAAACATGGATGATGATGCCAATGTGACCTGCCCTCAATGTGAGGGTGAAGATCAGATGAGACGATGCATGGAAAGTAGTATGTACATGTTGGCCAGGATGAACTCTCTCTGCACTCTTCATTCAACAAGCTTTTATCTAGTGCCTACTGTCTGCATACTGCTATGTGCTCTTGGAGGAAGAATGAAATGTCACCTCCTGCATATACAAGGTATCCCCAAAGCCTTAATGTTCTGCTATCTCCATGGAAACTCCCATTTCATTTGGTATTTGGTAAGACCAGAATAAAAATAAATTTAAAATATGATCATGTTATTGATTAAGTCTTGGTTACTAAGGCCCTTTGTTTTAAGAATGCAAAGGATGTAGGATGGTGTTTCGGATGCCAAAACAGCAGAAAGGCTGCTTATGTCCTACTGTAATGATGAATCTCCAACCAACAGAGATTACTAGCTAGCATGGATGTGGGCTTTTTTCCTCATAATAATTTATGAAAGTTCATCAGATGACTAAAGAACCCCACTTACTGCTCTGAATTTTGTCTTTTTCACTGTTATTTGCCTCTTTTTTGTATCCCCAGCACTCAGCTCAATGTTTGGCACATAGTAGATGCTTAATAAATGTTTATTGATTGACTGATTTGCACCCCCCAGAGAAATCCAGTGAGATAGATAACACCAATATTATTGCCCCCATTTTATAGATGAGGAAACTGAGGTTCAAAGGGGTTAAATGATTGGCTCATGGACACATAACTAGTAAATGTCAGAGGCAGGATTTGAACTGAGCCCTTTCCTAATCTCAAGGTCAGCCCTCTTTCCATTATTCCATGTTGTTGATCTTTGTAAAATCCCTTTCAGGTCTCAATCCTAGGAGCCCTAGTCTCTTAGACTGTGGATCCCAAAATAAGACACAGTGCCTCTGTTTAAGAGGAAAATGGGAAGTTCAATGTGTGCCTATTACATGTCACAATCTAGTCTTGCTTGGGCATCCTAATACCATGGCTGTGGCTTTCTGTTCTTTTATTTCTGAATGACAGAGTTATATTAGTGACCCTTGGTCAGTTTCTGCAATAGTCATGAAATAATAGTTCTTTTGCAGTACCATAACAAATGTGGGCGAATGGAGCTTTGCCAACATGGCATAACTGGCTCCATTCCTCCCTAGGTCAACCACCATCCCCATGAATCATCTTACCATCTTCTAATGGTTTGGATTCTAGCCACACCCCTCTATAGGCTGCATGCCGCCTCCTCTACCGTGGAAGCTCACTCTATCCCTGGACTTCACACACTGGAAGTATGCTCCTCCCCTATAGCCGTTCCCTCTCATTAGCTGGTTCCTCCCAGAACCACCAACATATTCCACCCCAAACAAACAAACAAATCAGAGACAAGGTAATGTTGGTATGGAAAACACCAGTAACTGAGGGAAAAGGGAAAGACCTTGTACAGAAAGTGACATTTGAGCAAATTTTGAAGGAAACCAGAGATTCTAACAGATTTGAGAAAGGAACGCTTTGTGGGAATAGGAGACAGCCAAAACAACAACAACAACAAAAAAAAAACCACAGAGAAAGTAGATGGAGCAGGGAGGAGCAGAAAGTAGGCCAGTATGGCTAGGCCACAGAGCACATGAAGAGACTGGAAAGATGGGAAGGGGCCAGGTGACGAAGATCTTTAAATGCCAGAGGATTTTATGTTTTATTCTACAGGTAATAGGGAGCTACTGGAGTTTATTGAGAAAACAGAGACGACCTTGTCAGAACTACAATTAGGTCAGAATTATGGGTCAAGAAGGCCAATTAGAAGCCAACTGCAATAGTTCATGGAGGAAGTGCTGATGGACTAGACAAGAGTGGTGGCTGGGAGGATGAAAACGTTGTGATAAAAGAGGGAAGAAGAGGAAGTTCACAGCAAATGGCCTTGATGTTCTTAGTCAAGTATGAGTCAAGATCCCCAGCTGAGAGATGGGAGGGATACTTGAGGAGAGGAGAAAAATTTTGGAATAACTGGGTTAGAGAATCCATTAGGGAGGAATGAAAGGCTTGCTTTCCTGCAGTGAGGGCCCAGTTGAGATTAGATTATTAAAATCTATAATGGATCCCATCTGAGGCAGCTAGGTGGAGCAGTGGATAGAGCACTGGCCCTGGAGTCAGGAAGACCTGAGTTCAAATCCAGCCTCAGACATATAACACTTACTAGCCGTGTGACTCTGGGCAAGTCACTTAACCCCAAATGCCTCACCAAAAAAAATATAATAATAATGAGTATAATGGATTCCATCGATACAATTGTCTGTTTTCTCCCGATTCTTTTTAGCAGCACGTGAACAGAAGCAAAAGGGGCAGATGGTGGGAGTAATCCAAGGCTGGGGTTTCACAAGAGATTCAGAAGCAGAAGGCAGGATAGAGTTGCATTGATTGGCTAATGGGCAAAGACTGAGAAAGAGGAGAATGTAACTAGAGCCAGAAGGATGGCCTGGAAGGCGCAGAGCGATGGAGGGACTAGAGCTTATGGTGAGGATGATGAATAGTTTTAAGAGGAGTAAGGCATAGTGAGAGATGAAATTAGAGATTTTTTTTTGTTGTTCAGTTTTTTTCAGTCATGTTTGACTTTTTGTGTCCCCATTTGGGATTTTCTTGGCAAAGATATACTGGAGGGGTTTGCCATCTCCTTCTCCAGCTCATTTTACAGATGAGGAAACTGAGGCAAACAGGGTTAAGTGACTTGGCCAGGGTCACACAGCTAGTACACGTCTGAGGCTGGATTTGAACTCAGGAAGATGAGTCTTCTTGACTCCAGGCCTGGCATTCTATCCATTGTGCCACCTAGCTGCCCCCATATAGGAGATTATGATCAACGGAAGAATAGCAGCATTCTTGGAAGTGGCACTCTTGTGGATGAGGCATGATCATTCCTATGTGCAGCTGGGGTGGAATGATATAGGACTAGGAACTAGACCTACGATTTCATTGATGAACTCCCAGGTGAGGAAATCTACTGATGAAGGTTGGAGCCTTTTCTGCAAATTATAGACTTAGTGCTCTGAGCACTGAGAGGTTGTGATTTGCCTGGGATCACACAGGTAGTATGTATCAGAGGTGGCCCTTGTGACTTCAAGGCCAGTACTCTTTCTACTATGTTAAACTGCCTCTCAATAATGGAAGTTGAGGAAACTGAGGAAGCGACAGGCCAGTATATATAAGAATTAATCTGTAATATGTCAGTGGAAGAAAAATGTCTACACAATTGTCATGGATAGTAAATAATGGAGTGATAGAATGAAGAGAGGACTGGATTTAGAGGCAGTTATCGCCTTGGGCTAAAGGGGGCATGCATGAGTCAAGTAGTCAGAAAAAGCTGGTTTGAACTGGTTATTTCAGTGCATATTAGATAGAAAGGAAAGATGTTGATTATGCTCTAGAAAGAGAGAGAAAGAGGGGAGGGAAAGGAAATAGACAGAGACAGAGAGATAGAGACAGAGAAAGAGAGAGAAAAGAGAAGAGAAGAGAGGAGAGAGAGAAGAGATACAGGAAGAGAGAGAGAGAGAGAGAGAGAGAGAGATAACACTCCAATAAACAAAAGTCCTAAGAATTGTTGGCACCAAAGCTATTGGTGGAGATCTGCAAAAATGAGGTTAAAACAAAGGGTGAAGGTTAGCTGAAGAGCTCCCTGCTCCCGCTGGGCTTGTCATGAACTCAACAGTGGCTCCATTCTCATACCTTTGACCCAGAGTGTCAGCTAAAGTTGAGTAGTTCTTTTGGTTGAACACTGAGCTCCACATGAATAGAAGCCAAGCATGCCTCTGACTAAATAAGTTAAAAAAATACCTAAGAAAGTTTCACAAGGAGACAACAAGACTATTTGGAAGGGATCGTATGGAAAATATTCACCATTTATGATGTCCACCTTGTCATACAGCATGGCAGAATGGAATAAAACAGGAAAAGCCCCGGAGACCTAGGTTCAGGTCCTTGTTCTGACGCTATCTGTGTTTCCTCATCTCTCAAATGAGGATAATAATAAGAAGAATGAGGTGGTGCCTGTCTTCACAGGGTCATTGTGAGGAAAGTGCTTTGTCCGATGTATGATGGCATAGAAATGTAAGCTATTATTGTCATTACCACAAGGTGGACTCTATGCAAAGGGTTTACAGGAGATTGTGCTCAGTGGCTGCACCGGATGCAATGTGGCTGGTTGCAGCCTGAATGATCTGAGGTAGAACTTACCTGAGATCTCAGATCCACTGAAGTACTGAACTGATATTAATATAGCACTTTAAGATCTGCAAAGCCCTCTCCCTATATTATCCACAGTATCATAGAATCCCTAATTTCCTTCAAAACTCAGCTTAAACATGAAGCCTTTCCTGATTTCCCCAGTAGTTTGTACATTCTTTACTCCACACACCATGCATGAAACCAGTCTTACCCCTCTCCCTCCAACCTTTCTCTACCAAATCTTGCTCAGTAGATGCAATAGAAAACAATTTGTGGAGGAAGAGAGAACTAATAACTAAAGGGATCAGGAAGGATAT